GCTGTGTTCATCCAGCCCCACACTGTGTTATCTCCAACTGTTGTGTTCTCTGCACAGATCTGTCGTGTTTCCTCTTTGAATGATCTGAATGGCTATAAATTTAGTGAGATGAGGAGAAACTTCTTTACTCAGAGAGTTGTTGGGATTTGGAATGCACTGCCCGGGAGAGTGGTGGAGACTGGAGAGTGGGATGAGCTGAGCCGATACGGACAAGATGGGCCAAATGGCCTCCTTCTGTACTGTACAATTCTATGATTCTATAAATTGGGAGAGGGGAGTGTGCAGCGGGACCTGGGTGTCCTTGTACACCAGTTGCTGAAGGTAAACCTGCAGGTACAGCAGGCGGTAAAGAAGGTAAATGGTATGTTGGCCTTCAATGCGAAAGGTTTTGACTACAGGAGCAGGGATGTGTTGTTACAGTTAGACAGGGCCTTGGTGAGACCACACCTGGAATATAATTTGTGCAGTTTTGGTCTCCTTTTCTGAGGAATGATCCGCTTGGCCACGAGGGAGTGCAGCAAAGGTTTATCAGGCTGATTCCGGGGATGGCAGGACTGACGTATGAAAAGAGATGGGATCAATTAGGACCATATTCACTGGCTTTTAGAAGAATGAGGAGTGGGATCTCATGGAAATCTGTAAAACTCTAACTGGTCTAGATGGGGTCAATGCAGGAAGGATGTTCACGGTGACTGGGGAATCCAGAACCAGGGGGTCACAGACTGAGGATACGGAGTAAACCATTTAGGAAGGAGAGGAGAAATTTCTTCACCCAGAGAGCAGTGAGCCTGTGGAATTCCCTACCACAGAAAGAAGTCAGGGCTAAAACATTGTATGATTATGAGAAGGAGTTGGATATGGCACTTGAAACTCAAGGGATCAAAGGATAAGGGGAGAAGCAGGAGCAGGTGATTGGGGTGGATGATCAGCCATGGTTATAATGAATAGCAGAGCAGGCTCAAGGCCTGAATGGCCTACTCCTGACCCTGTTTGGTACTTTTCTATGCTTCTAAATATTTATCCAATTTCCTTTAGAAAGTTCCTGCACTATCAGTCCATTCCCTCACTGCGCCCCCCCCCCGCCACCCTCCAGCTCTTTCGGGCAGCACATTCCAGATCTCAGCAACGAACTGTGTGAAAACAAAACTCATCCCCATCTCGTTCTTGATTCTTTAGATTTACCAGCGTTTCCTCCATCAACACAGCTCTGTGATTATGAGCACCTTGATTAAATCTTTCCTTTCTCGTCTCTGAGGAGAATACTTCCAACTTTTCCAAGTTATGTAAATTCACTGAAATCCCCTTCCCTGCTTCAGTTTCCCCTCCTGGGTGCCGGGGTGGGTGACGGGGTGCCGGGTTGCGTGGGGGGGGTGTTCTTTGTGTTTGTTCACATTGAAGGACATTAGCACAGACTCACTTGAGCTGTGAGTGACTGGTTACTGTCCCACAGACACCATCAGATGGAATCAGGTGGAGTTTATCATACCCTACTGGAGGTGGAGAAAATATCTAACTAATCGCTTTCTTTCTGGTTACAGATTATTCGTTAGTCAAAGTTCCAGATGCCTCAAGTCTGACTAGTTACCGGTTCCCAGCTCGAGGAATGAGCTACATCCTGGTCCCAGGGGAGGCTTTCCACAGGAAAAGTAAGTAGCTTCTATCAAAATGTGTCTTAATAAACAGTCCCACCCTCCCCCTTATTAGTTCAGTTTCTCTGTCAAACTTCTTTAATTCACTCATGGGATGTGGGCGTTACTGGCTTACCCGTCCCTAGTTGCCCCTTGAGAAGGTGGGGGTGAGCTGCCTTCTTGAACCGCTGCAGTCCTCCTGCTGTGTGTTGACCCACAATGTCCTTAGGGAGGAAATTCCAGGATTTTGACCCAGTGACAGTGAAGGAACGGCGAGATATTTCCAAGTCAGGATGGTGAGTGGCTTGGAGGGGAACTTGCAGGGGGTGGTGTTCCCATGTATCTGCTGTCCTTGTCCTTCTAGATGGAAGTGGTCATGGGTTTGGAAGGTGCTGTCTGAGGGTCTTTGGTAAAGTTCTGCAGCGCATCTTGTAGATAGTACACACTGCTGTTACTGAGCGTCGGTGGTGGAGGGAGTGGATGTTTGTGGATGTGGTACCAATCAAGCGGGGGCTGCTTTGTCCTGGATGGTGTCAAGCTTCTTGAGTGTTGTTGGGGCTGCACCCATCCGGGCAAGTGGGGAGTATTCCATCACACTCCTGACTTGTGCCTTGTAGATGGTGGGACAGGCTTTGGGGAGTCAGGAGGTGAGTTACTTGCTGCAGTATTCCCAGCCTCTGACCTGCTCTTGTAGCCCCTGCGTTGATATGGTGAGCCCAGTTCAGTTTCTGTGTCGAGATATCTTCAGCTGTCTTAATGCAGAATGGGTTCCGGTAGGTTACACATGTCACAGTTTGTGTAAGTGAGACCGCTGGTATTTCTTGTTCTTAATCCTTTTCCCCAGACAGTTTAAATGATGACAGGCTGGGAGTCTGCTAGGGGAGTTGTACAGAAAGGTGTCCTGTATATTCATGTCAGTGGTTGTAGAAACTCAGTCTCTCTTGTCCGTCAGGTGATCTCTCTGCCATTATAGGGGGAGGCAATGGCCTTAGTCACTTGTCTATTAATCTAGAAACACAGCTAATATTCTAGTGACCCCGGTTCAAATCCCACCTTGGCCAATGGTGGAATGTCTAGAATTAAGAGTCAAATGACCATGAAACCATTGCTGATTTTCAGGGAAAACCCCATCTGGTTCACTAACATCCTGCAGGGAAGGAAACTGCTATCCTTACCTGGTCTGGCCTACATGTGACTCCAGCCCCACAGCAATGTGGTTGACTCTTAACTGCCCTCTGGGCAATTAGGGATGGACAATAAATGCTGGTCTGGCCAGCGACGCTTCATCCTGTGAATGAACAAAGAAAAAAAAATCATTTAAATTCTTCACTTTCAAACAAAAGTGCAGTGTTATTAAAACCCTCAATGGCACGAACAATGGCACATCCAGCCCAACGGTGTGACTTTCTGACTGGAACCTGAGGATGAAGCAGAGTTTCTCCAGATCCCACAGGGAACAGTTTGGTTTTCTGTTGCCCCAGGATTGTCTTTCTGACCCCATCCCTCTTGTTGATCTGGAGATTGTGTGGAAAACCCCTATCTGTGAGAGCTCACCTTGCCAATGAGCCACAACTTCACCTCCAGATTCTGTCTGTTTCAGGCAGGTAGTTGGCTGGTGATGTTGGCACAGAACGTGAGGTTTACAATCAGCCCTGTCTGGTGCTGCCACTATCAGGCCACTTACCTCATCCAGCTTTCTCCTTCCACCATCCCCTTCCCCGCAACTGCCCCTGAATCCTGATCCTAGTTAGAATTCATTGCCAGTTATGTCAACATCAACTAAATTGGGACTGAATCTTTCTTAGGCTTTTAAAATTCGATGAAAGAGTAAATTTATGAATGTTCTATCTTAAGACTCAGTTCCAGCTGCCAGGAACATGTTGTAAAATTGTGAGAGTGACATTTGTAGGAATTGCTGGATTAAAATTAATCCCAGGCCTTGAATGACACCAGTCAGTAATTTACAATTTTCGGAATTTGACATTGAAATTGGAAATGAAACATAACATTTCTCGTGTCCCTGTGAGTCATCAGAGAAAAGACAAGGCAATTCCAATGTTTTCTTTGAAACATCCTTTTACAACTGGAAATCCTTCGAAGATGAGAAAGAAAATGTGGGCAGTAAGAAGAAACAGAGAGAACCTTCCGATCTTTATCACATCCTGGAAACATCCCTAAAGACTCACTCAGTGAATTACTTTTGAAGAGGTCACTTTCTTACATAATCATCAGCTCTTCCAGCACAGAAAGAGCCCATTCAGGCCACCATACCTCCTTGAGAGAATTTAACAATGAGTCTATATAAAAACCAAAAGAACTGCGGATGCTGTAAATCAGGAACAAAAACAGAAGTTGCTGGAAAAGCTCAGCAGGTCTGGCAGCATCTGTGAAGAAAAACATCAGAGTTAA